AAAGATAGTGTATGTGTGGTCGATGAGATGAAAGTATTGTACTACTATCATATCCCATTATTTATAACATACACTCATCAATATAATGTCACATCACAACATTTATCAAACACTACTACCTATTCAATAATTAATTAATTAGGCAGAGTAATCAATATATTCGATCTCGATTGAGCTGATGTTTGGCTTTCTAAAAAATGAATTGTTTATCTATGGTTTAGATTAGAGCTAGGTGTCCTCCATTCAAAATGCATGCATGCATGCAGAAGATCAGATGTATATATTTACGAGGATAGCTTGATGTAGCCCATCTGTCAGAGTTCTTTGTTGTACACGTTGCTTAATTTCATGTTTGATTCCTGTGATTTTTGTATTCTTTTACTGATATGATAAACCACCATCTATTTAACACTCTACTCTGACGTAAATAATGTTAAGATAATCTCACATGGGTAATTCAGTTGATTTTTTGACACTAAATTATAAATAACGACACAGAATTAAGTTCGATAGTCACAATTTGAGGATTTTATTTAATATGGTGGGTTCTTTATCCTTATTTTCTACAATGCAAAGATTCATTACCTTCAAATTAGTTAATTAAATAAATTCACTATATTGTACATTGTTTTCTTTTTATACTATCTTGTAATTAAATATCAAAGTTATAATCAATGTTGCAAAACACGCTAGGCGCCCCCTAAGCGCCGATTTATTATTATTTTTTATTATTATTTTTTTATTTTTTTATATTTTTTTAATTAAAAATAAAATTTAAAATTTAAAATTTTTAAAATTTAGTAATAAAACATAAGGTTTCTATAGTTATTTCTTAGAAATTATTTACGAAAGTGGTTGTAAAAGTGTTCAAAAGATTGTTGAAATCATCTAAATACATAAAAAATTAAAATTAAGAGCTAAAGAAGCATTTTTTTGAGAAATTAGTGGACCAGCGGTGGATAGATCTCGAAAAAATACGCGATTTGAAAAAAGAAATTGTCCAAATCGGACAAACGAGTCAAAAGTTATGCCTTCCGAAACTTTTCCGACATTTTCAAAAAAAAAAAAAAAAAAAAAAAAAAAACCGCCGAACCGGCCGGTTAGGCGGTCTAGGCGGCCGCCTAGACCGCCTAGGCGGCCGGCCGCGGAGGAGGCCGCGGAGGCCGTTCCTCGCGGCGGCGCAATGGCGCGATTTTTGCAACATTGGTTATAATACAAAATAATTTTATATATTTATTTACCAAATATTTTATTAATACTATGGGAAAAAAATAAAAAACAGTTTGAAGTCAGTCATATGAACTACTTGGGAAGGATTGGTTGATAAAGATATTATTCAAATAATCCAAGAAATTGAAGCGGGAAAACTACCCTGTAATATCTCTCGAGTACATACACCACAATTCACTTTAAATGTAAATCGTATTTTTTTTTAAAGATGATTTAAAATGTATAAAATTTTACTTCCTTATGGAATCTTACTACTTAAATAAACTAGGTGATGTGAACCTAGTTGGCCTGATCTTATGTTCACACTCTAATTTAAAGAATATTTTATAATGATTTAGTAGGCTAGGTGAAATCGAATTTGGAGGTTTAACTTGGGCTCGATTAAGGGATAATTTTTTGGTTTTAATAAGTCCTTTGGCCACATCGGGTTATAAGGTGATACGTAGGATTTGGGGTGACTCCACAAGTGATGCTTCACACTTGATAAGTCAGGATCACCATGACTTGATCATGGTCGAACTGTCCCGAGTTCTAGAAAACACTCAGCTTCCTAAAAAAGTCTAACTCTATATTTCATTTGGCATGCAATGACCTTAAATAGTCATTAACAAGCATATTATAACCACATGAATGAAATAACAACTAATCCTAACCAGTAACCAACAACCTAATATAAACACGAATAATAATATAATTGTAACAAACTAAATCTAAAATAATTTTAATTTAAGATAATCATCCTAATTAATTAATAAAACTAATTCTAAAATATTCTAACAGATCACGTAGCCACAACATTCCCTCTCACTTTAGAGGGATTCGTCATCGAATCCACGTTCCACGCACTGTTGAAGCTCCATGAGTCTTCGTGAAGAGATAACTGTGGGCTCTGATACCAAATTATGTAAACCTAGTTGGCTCGATCTTGGCTAATTTAAAGAATATTTTATAATGGTTTATTAGGCTAGGTGAAATCGAATTTAGAGGTTTAACTTTGGCTGGATTAAGGGCTAATTTTTTGGTATATTTAAAGAAGTTGTATGATTTTATGCTGATAATAATATGTTAATGGTAATTTAATCATTATCTTACGTAGCTACATTTAAAAGTTCATTATTAAAAATGTCAATGTATGGAAATTGAACATCATGACATACTTGATGTATTGAAAAGATGTCGAGACTACAACAATGTTGCAATCAATCTTGCAAATCCAGAAAATGAAACATGTTCACCCACTTCAATGTTGGACTTCTTTGGACCTCATTCTGGTTGATGAGGGAATTGTTTCATCCTTTGATTTCCTGCGACGAAAGGTTATTAGATTGATCAAATAGCTTCGACCGCCCTCAAGAAGACTCAAACTCAATGCTGGCGTTACATTCTCCAATAGCGGCGCAGCAGGTAATGCTTGTCTAAGAGACTCAGAGGGCTCCCTTGTTGTGGCTTTTCATTTCCCTCTGTTTGCGTCCTCAATTTTAGAGGCATAGGCCTTATTATTGGATCTAGCGATCAGATGGTGTGAGTTGATGGCCACCTTGTTGAGGTGGACTCTCTCCTGCCTCTCAATTACTTTAAATTGTCTTCTTCGTCCGTTCTTTGGTTTGTTCGTAGCGATCAGAGCGAGGGAGCCGCGCGGGAGACAGCGATATAGATAGAATCCATAAAATCGCTCCATAATGTCCCTCCACGAAGCAGATTAAACAAAAGTTTTGCAGAATATGCTTTCTGGATAGAGTCGAGAGACCTGATCCCAGGCCGCCCTCTTTTTCGGGGAAGCATAATTTTTTCCAAGAGGCCCAATGACGCTTTGGCTTGCCACCGTCCATACCCCATAAAAAAATTTCAACTTTGGATTCAAGTGATCGCTCGGTCTGTCTAGGCAAGAGAACCGAAGCTGCAGTAAATAAAGGGATCGAAGATAATACATGACGAATGAGCGTTAGTCGGCCCCCTGGAGATACTAATTTTCGTTGCCAGCCTAGGAGTCTTGCATCGACCTTTTCAAGAAGATGTTGATAATATAGCGGTCGATTTCTTCCTTTAAAAAGATTCACTCCAAGATAGCGAAACGACAAGGTTGATTGTTGCATACCAAGGACACGCGACATAATGCTAGCCCGAGCACGCGTACACTTCCTGGAAGTAACAAAAAACTTTTGTCATAATTGATTTTTTGTCCTGAACCCTCATGATATTGGATTAAGACTTCTGTGAGTACTTTTAGGGAGGCCGACGAACCATTTACAAAAATTAAAATATCATCAGCAAACGCCAGATGGGTGATCAAAGGGGCAGTTCGGGGCTGTGGAATAAGGTGATAACAGTCCTACCCCCATCTTTAAGATAAGGGAGCGGGATAAAGCTTTCGAGGCCAGTATGAATAAAAGCGGCGATAGAGGATCACCCTGTTTGACTCCTCTAGTCGGCGGGAAGAAACCGTAGCTTACCCCATTAGCCAGAACAGACAGTCTCGTTGCCTCCAAATTTCGCATTACAACATTCACAATCATTGCCGGGAAACCCAACTTTTCTAGTACTGCTTGGAGGAAAGACCAAGATACTCTGTCAAAAGCCTTCATCATATCAAGCATAACAATAACATTCATCCCACGACATCTCTTGTCAATATACTGCAGCAATTCAAAAGCCAGAAGTACGTTATCTTGAATATTTCGGACATGTACAAAGCGAACTTATTCCTTAGAAATCAAATTAGGCAGGACCGCAGCCACTCTTGAAGAGACTACTCGTGTAAAAACCTTACTGATAAAGGTACACAGACAAATCGGTCTATAGTCAGCAAATGAATCCGGATTTGCCTTCTTCAGAATCAACACTATGAATCAGTTCTCATCCTTCTTTTTATTCTTCTTTGGGACTTTTGTTAGATGATGTTGAAGAATTGGAGTCTATGATTGAAGACGTCCAATTCCATTTTTTAAGACGATCAGGTCTTTTTTTGTCTATTCCTTAGACTCTCATGCTTTACATTGGTCAAGAACCAAGCACATTTCCGACCCTTTGTAGAGTTATTGCGAACTGTGCCGCTCAGACTGTTGCCAAGAAGGCCTGTTCAGAGTCAGGTTGTGGAGAGTGGTTTGATACACCTCCTGCTTTTCTTGTTAACTGTCTTATTCGAGATTTAATGCATTAAGTTTTAACTTTCAAAAAAAAATAAAAAATCAACGGAGTTGATGTTAACTCTCTATGGAAGAGACCTATTGTATTAAGATTTCGGTTGTCATGACATTTGTTCATTCAACACGTGTCAAGACTAGGACCTGTTTGATAATATAGTTAGTTTATCATTTAATTTTAGCTTATTTTATCATTATTAGCTATTTGACTTGTTAAAAAATAAATATAAGTGTTTGATTTATTAAGTTTTTGTAACAACTTATTGCTCCAAAATATTAAAATTCAAAATTTTGTTCAAAACAGCTTTTTCTATTACTTTTTTGTGAAAAGTCATTTTGCATGTAATCAACTATCAACTAAGAACTAATTTACCAAACACTTCTCCACAATCAGCTAATGCAATCAACTAGTCAAATCCACTAACACAATCAGCTAAAGCTATTTACCAAACATCCCCTCAAATTGTTTCAGGTACAAACAAACAAAATTAAACTAAATTATATATATATAACTCAATCATAATATATGTCTTAGTCTTGTACTCTGGTAGATCAGATCTATTTCCTTAATAATTTCATTAACACATGCATGCACATAGGTAAAATCTGAGATGAGTACAGTGCGAAGGCCTAATAATCTCCTCATTATTCAAGGATAGATGCAGTACGTACAGCAAACTTGAAGTTTGCATTTTATTGGTGCCGCCGGCCCGCCGGATCTTTCTAAACCGCAGTTACGATCTTACGGAAGGACGATGGTTCCTCTGGGCAATAGGGAGTTCCATTCTGGTCATAGAGTGTGCAGCCTATGATTGCTGCTATGCAACAGTTTGTGCAAAGTTCGCCATATTTCGTGTCCGTAAAAGGGCATTGCATAACCTTTGCTCGGCCGTCGCAGTTCCGAGGGCAAGGCTCCGATTGCGCATTTGCATGCTTCACCTCCACAACAATGCCTGCATATATAAACTCGATCAAACCCTTTAGCCGCTTGACAACTTAGGGTGTGCACATGGAAATCGGAAGGTGAATCACATATTTGTAATATTAATGGCTTTTCTGAAAGTATTTTGCATGTTTGTTAGAAAGGTAAAATTGGAATGATTACTAATATTAGGTGTCACACTTGTGTGAGACTGTTTCACGAATCTTTATTCGTGAGACCCGTAGAGTCATGTCGAATTAACATCTAAATATCATACTTATAAGCGGAAATGTCATACTTATATGTTCAAATAAAATACTAATCATGAATAAAAAATTTGTTACTTATAACAGAAAAAATGTAATACTTTTGCATTTTGATGTAAAAGTATTATACTTTCAATCAAAATATTACATTTTTCATAATAAGTATTGTTGGCAAGTGCCCCTTACTTGTAAGGAAAAATATAATACTTTTAAAGAAAAATGTAACACTTTTAAATCAAAATGTAAAAGTATGACATTTGTGCGTATAAGTAACAAAAATTCTATTACTGACTAGTATTAAATTTGAGCATATAAGTATGACATTTGTGCGTATAAATATACATTTTCATCTTGACCCGACCCGTCTCACGGTGAAATAGTCTCACACAAGTTTTCGCCATAATATTAATGTATGTTTATGTATAACCCTATGAATAAAGATTTTAAAAATACAAAAACAAAAAAGAAAAGAAAAGCAATTGATCCTTTTATATATATATATATATATATATATATATATATATATATATATATATATATATATATATATATATATATATAAACTCTCTCCCTGGTATCTAGGGTTTTTCCTCTCTCTCCCTGACATCTAGGGTTTATATCGTTCTTGCTTCTTCGATCACGTTTGCTTACTCTCGATCCCGATCACGCTGCTTCTTTGATCACGTTAATTATTCTCGATTCTCGTTCACGTTGCTGTTTCGATCACGTGGGCGAAACATGGACAATGGACGAAACATGGGCGGTGGACGAAACATGGACGGTGGACGTAGCATGGAAGTCCGTGATTTAGTGCAGAGTTGCGCGGAGATAACTCTTGAAGACGAGGAGACGGGAGTTCGGTTTGAGGAGGACCCGAGTGCGGTTGTCACAGTTGAGGTTGAGCGGCAGTATTGGCAGTTGGTCGGCAGGTTCCTAACCGATCGTAATATCAAATTTGATGTGATGAGACAGGTAATGGCATCTGTGTGGAGGCCGTTGATGGGGATACAGGTTACAGAGGTACAACCGAATCTTTACTTGTTCACGTTTTATCATGACACGGACATGGCGTATGTTTTGGAGAATGGCCCTTGGGCGTTTGAGAACGCCACCTTAGTATGTCAACCTTTGCGGCCTGGCGAGCATCCCACGCAGGTCACGTTGAATACGATTGATTATTGGATACAGGTTCATGATCTGCCGGTTGGTTACCGAACGGATAAAGTCTTGGAGAAAGTGGGGGATTATTTAGGGCTGTTCATTCGGCTAGATGAACGAAATTTTGTGAGGCCTTGGACTAAATTCTACAGGGTGAAGGTTACGATTGAGGTAACGGCACCCCTGAAAAGGGGCATGAAGATGATTTTGCGGGACAATTCATAGACATGGGTTAATTTCCGGTATGAACGGTTGCACATGTTTTGTTACTTTTGTGGAAAATTAGGGCACACAGATAAGTTCTGTCTGGATGCCCGTGTGTCTCGCCTGAAACCTGAGCAATATCCTTTTAGTGCGAGTTTGAAGGCTGGGGGCAATTTACCGGCGAAGGCGGTGGGGGAGAGTTGGCTGCAAAAAGGGGAACGGAGACACCGAGAATTGGGTCTCAGCTGTGGGGAGGGGGGTGATGTCCATGACCCACGGACCATCGCGGACCGTCCAGGACGCGGTTCGGACTTGCTGGCAGATTGGTGTCGGGGCACGCCGGGCACTGGAGTAGGTTCGGCCAGTGTGACTAGGCCGTTCGCGGCAGGTTTGAGGGAGGGGTTTCGGGATGAGGGGGAGGAGGAGGGGGTGCGGGTTGATCCGAAGCGGAGACGGGGGGTGGTGAGGGAGGTGACGGGGAGGGTGGAGGCGGAGGATGGTGTGATGTTGGTGGATTCTGATTCTTCTATTCTGGCGGGACCTGTTGATCAGGCCCGCCCTTCCCAATGAGTATTCTAAGTTGGAACTACCGTGGCTTGGGCAATCCACGGACGGTTCGCGAAATTGTGGACTTAGTGTCCAAAAGGAAGCCGGATTTTGTGTACTTGATGGAGACGATGGTGGATAGGAGTCATGTGGAGAGACTCCGTGTGAAGATTGGTTTTGAAGGAGGTTTTGGGGTGGATAGTGTGAGATAGAAAGGTGGTATGGGTTTCCTATGGGCAAAGAATAATAGCGCTCGGTTAATTAAGTACTCTAATAACCACATTGATCTGGTGGTGTCATTGCCAAATCGTCATCACTGGAGGCTTACTTGCTATTATGGTTTTGCTCAAAGCACGAGGAGAAGGGAGTCGTGGGATTTTCTACGATCACTCAAGAATGTATCTGATCTTCCTTGGGTGGTAGTAGGGGATTTTAACGATCTTCTTCATCAATTTGAGAAGAGAGGTAGACGGCCACATCCAGCTGGTTCGATAGAGGGGTTTGGGGAGGCTCTTGCTGATTGCGACTTGACGACTATTCCCATGATCGGGTACCCTTTTACCTGGGAACGAAGTAAGGGGACACCAAATTGGGTGGAGGAGAGGCTGGATAAAGCAGTGGGGGATGCAGCTTGGTTGGGGATTCATAATAGAGCCAGGCTATATAATATTCGGACTTTAATGTCGGATGATACGGCCCTTTTTCTGGATATTAATGGCTCAGCTACAACTCGGGAACCACGTGGTTTTCGTTTTGAGAATGCGTGGTTAGAGGATGAGGGCTGCAGAGGGGTGATGGAGGAGAGGTGGTTGAGTACGCAGGGGTTGGGGTTATAGGAGAGGTTGTAGATGTGTGGCCAGGGCCTGAAGAAGTGGGGAGGGGACCATTTTCATAAATTTGGTTCCAGGATTGACACAATAAGGCGGGATATGAATGCCTTGAGAGGGCGTATGGACCCGGCGTCCTTGGGGCAGTTTAGACAGTTGGATGAGCAGTTGTGTTCCATTCTGTCGCAGGAGGAGACTTTCTGGAAACAAAGGGCCAAGCAACACTGGCTGCAGGGTGCGGATAGAAATACAAAGTTTTTCCACCAGTACGCCACGTACCGGAAAAGGAAAAATTTTGTTATGAAGCTTAAGGATGAGAATGGGGTTTGGAAGGAGGGGGATGACCTAACCTCGCTGGTCACGAGCTATTATGAGCAGATATTTCGGTCCAGCCGTGGGACCGGTGTGTTCCACGTGGATACCCTCACACCACGTGTCACACGTGAGCAAAACGATGATCTTCTCCGTCCGTTTGAGCTTGAGGAGGTTAAGTGCGCCTTGTTTTCCATGGGGAAAGATAAGTCACCAGGACCGGATGGTATGAATCCGGGTTTCTATCAGGCATTCTGGGATCTTCTTGGTAAGGATGTTACTGATTTTGTCCTTAATTGTTTATCTCAATCATCCTTCCCCTTAGAGTTGAATGATGCGAATATTGTGCTAATCCCTAAAAAAACAGCCCCTGAGTTTGTTGCGGATCTCAGGCCTATTGCTTTGTGTAATGTGATATATAAACTGATGGCCAAAATGATTGCTAATCGTATGAAACCACTGCTTGATAGTATTATCTCAGAGTCTCAGAGTGCCTTTTTGCCAGGTAGGCTCATCTCGGATAACATTCTTATTGCGTTCGAGGTTGGTCATTATCTACGAAGGAAACAGTTAGGGCAGGTAGGTTGGGCGGCCCGTAAATTGGATATGGCCAAGGCCTATGATCGTATGGAGTGGCCATTTGTGGAGCGTATGTTGTTGGGGCTGGGTTTTGATGAAAAATGGGTCAGACTTATCATGCTCTGTGTACGGACAGTCAGGTACAGGGTGCTGGTCAATGGGAAGCCGAGTAAAGAGATAATCCCATCTAGGGGTTTAAGGCAAGGAGATCCACTGTCTCCGTACCTTTTTATTATATGTGCAGAAGGCTTGTCCCTCTTGTTGCAGGACGCTCAGGCAAAAGGACGGATACATGGTTGCAGGGTAGCTCGTGGAGCTCCACCTATTTCGCATCTTTTCTTTGCGGATGATAGCCTACTATTCTTTAAGGCGAATATGAAAGAAGCTATGGAGGTGAAACGTTGTCTAGCGGTTTATGAGGAATTTTCAGGCCAATCAGTTAATTATCATAAATCCAATATTTCTTTTAGCCGTAACACTGTTTTGGGGGTCAGGAACGATATTGCTGATGAGCTAGGAGTTGAGCAAGCTGAGGATTTTGGGAAATACCTGGGTCTCCCTTCAGTTATTGGAAGAAACAGGAGGGTGGTTTTCTCTTATATTGAGCAAAAATTGAAACAGCGGTTTGGCTCCTGGAATAAGAGACTGTTATCTATGGCAGGTAAAGAGGTGCTATTGAAAAGTGTGGCACAGGCAATGCCAACCTACACTATGAGTATCTATCTGTTACCTATGTCTTTATGTGTCTCATTGGAAAGACTAATGAATAGATACTGGTGGGGTAAAAGTAATGTGGTAGATGGCATTCACTGGATGGCCTGGGACAAGATGTGTGTGCCCAAGAAGTATGGAGTCATGGGTTTTAAAAGGCTGCATGAGTTTAATTTGGCACTTCTAGGGAAGCAAGGGTGGAGATTGTTGACTTGCCCAGACTCTCTAGTGGCCAGGATCTTTAAGGCAAGGTATTTTCCTAACTCTACCTTTTATGAGGCCACGCTTGGTGGTAACCCAAGTTATGTGTGGAGAAGTATAATGGCCAGTCAGGATCTTGTTCGAAGTGGTTGCAGGCGGAGAATTGGCAACGGAAGAATGACTAAAGTCTGGGACCTCCCCTGGTTGACTGACTCCCATGACCCGTTTGTTCACTCAGATCAGCCTGCGCAACACCTTGATTTGTTGGTGGCAGACTTAATAGATTATGACCAGGGAATTTGGAATCAGGATCTAATATTGCAGTTATTTGTTCCCAGGGATGCTGGCTTGATTTTACAAACCCCGGTGTGTGTGGATTTTAAAGATGATTGGTACTGGGCGGGTGATATAAGGGGGGTATATACGGTCAAAAATGGTTATAGGCAGCTGGGGGAAATTAATGCCCCAAGTGATGCAATATGGAATAACATTTGGAAATTACAGGTTCCCCCCAAATGGAAGATTTTCCTTTGGAGAGCTATCACTAATATTTTTCCAACAATTACTAACCTGGTTAGAAGAAGAGTGGAAATTCCAAATGTGTGCCCTGCTTGTGGTGTGCTTGAAGAAGATGTTATGCACATTTTATGCAATTGTGTTTATGCTAGACATGTGTGGAATGTTTCACAACTACAACTCCCTAACTTTGGTGATCATGATTTTGTGCAGTGGGTGGAGCTTTGGCTAGGGAACTCAGCAATATCTACTGGGTTTCTAAAAGATCAAATATGTGAAATACTCTACGAAATATGGAGGGCCCGAAACATGGCGGTTTGGGACCTCGCTTTGCCTAACCCGTCGCAGCTTTGTGCATCTTTTCACCGAACCTGGGCCGTATGGAATAAAGCAAATGCTCATGGCAGTGTTTCGCTGTTACCGCCCAATGTTACTGCTTTGCTACAGACGCAGTCTGAAGTTTTGCCTGCCATACCACACGGGGCTGCTGCATCTCTCCCCCACGATGCCGTGATATGTAGTACGGACGCTGGATTTTATGGATCACAACACGCCCCAACTTTCGGCTTCTATGTGCGCAACCCGGAAGGTGTTTTTATAGCAGCGGTAAATGGCCCTCTCTCTTGCCCATATGATCCGCTTTTAGCCGAAGCAATGGCAATACGTGAGGCTCTCTCATGGCTTCAGGACCACAATTATCAAAGTATTGTTATTTTGACGGACTGCGCAGTTCTCGTGGATAGCTTTCGAGACGTCAGTTTATTTCGTTCGTATCTTGGCATTGTTTTAGATTCATGTTTACGTTTGTTTAATTCATTCCCAGCTCATTCTATTAAGTTTGTACGCAGAGGCACCAATTTGGTTGCTCATGCTTTAGCTAAACATGTAGGAGCAGTACATGAACGCTCTATCTGGAGGGAGTCCCTCCCATCGTTTATTCCTTCGGGGTTAAGTTAAAGCAATATATGAAGTTTTTGGTTTTCAAAAAAAAAAATAATATATATATATATATATATATATATATATATATATATATATATATAATGACAAAAAAACACCGATATGAACAAAAAAATCAAATCAAAAATTTAAAAACACTAATCCAAACTTAAAAATCATATTACCAATAAGATGAGATGATATATGTTTTTAATTAGGAAATTGGTTTAAAATTGAAGACGTAATAAAATCTCATAGTTGTGTTTTAAAAAGTTGTCAACTAAACATTAACTATGATTTTGATTTTTATTCTTGATGTGTAAACCCATGAATCAAACACACCTTTAGATAAAACTTTTACAGGCCGTTTGTTGCAATGAGACAATCAAAGGGCAAATGAATTGTAATTTTGTGGAGAAAGGATAAGCTGAAAATAAATTATAAATTCAAATTTTATTATTTTCTATGAATAGAATTACTAAGAATTTCAATTATAATATTTTGGGAACGGAATAAGTAGTAGAAAAATTAAAATGTCCATATAATTATAATTTATAAGGAAAGATATAATATTATTAGGGAGGACATTTTAATCCTTACACTCCAAATTTATTTCCATATATATATTATATAGTTACCATTCCCAAGGACGGAGCCAGAAATTCGATTGAGGGGGGGCGAAATAGGATGGATTTAGAAATTTTTTTCAGTAAAAGCGAAACATTAAAACAAAAGATATAATTAAAAAAAAAAATTACCTAAGAATTTCTTTTTATATAACCATTACTTAAGAAATATAATTGTAATTTAATAAAATAATTTGAATAGAAAACACATTATAAATTATACATATCAGTATTAATATAAAAGAATGTTATATATATATATGTGTGTGTGTGTGTGTGTGTGTGTTAAATATTAAAAAAGTAAATGTGTTAAAGTCATAGGGGAAGGACAAACTATGCTAATGCAAGGTTTTGAACCCAAGACCTTTCCTAGTACCTTAGATATACTCCACCAACTAATCTAACTCCATACTTATTAGTATGTACTAGTTTTTTTATACTAATACTAAAACATATACTATATATACATATATACATATACATATTATATATTGGGTGGGGGTAGGGTGAGGGGGGGGGGCAGCTGACCCCCTGCCCCCCTCTGGCTCCGTCCCTGACCATTCCTAAGAAATATAAGATTTGTAATTCATCAAATTTAAAAAATTATAATTCCATAAAATTGTAATTCCTCTCGACCAGACTTCAAAGTTTTACAAAAAGAATTAAATTCCTCTCTACTAGACATGTCATTATTTTCTATTAAAAAGGAACAAGCTAGAGTGCTAGACGACAACGTGGTATATACCGCAGAGGAGAAGGAGGAGGAGAGTGACGGGGCCAAGTTTGGTGCCGCTTGCCGCCATGGATGCTACCTTAATTAGCTTCAATAATTCTCACTTCTTGAAAGGTGTGTAAGTGTGTTGTATGTATGTTTGGTTGATGAGATCAAAGTGTTGTACTAGTATATATATATCCCATTTATAACATACACTCATCAATATAATGCCACATAACATTTATCAAACACTATCCAATAATTAATTAATTAAACAGATTAAAAATGAATTGTTTATCTATGGTTTAGATTAGAGCAAGGTGTCCTCTATTCAAAATGCATGCATGCATGCAGATCAGATGTATATATTTACGAGGATAGCTTGGATCGCCCATCTGTCAGACTTCTTTGTTGACACCTTGCTTTCATGTTTGACTCCTGTGATTTTTGTATTCTTTTACTGCACTGATATGACAAACCACCATCTATTTAACACTACTCTAACGTAAGTAATGGTAAGATAATCGTATATGAACAACTCAGTTGATTTGTTGACAGTAGATTATAAATAAGGGCACAGATCAAATTAAGCCCGATAGTCACAACTTGAGGACTTTACTTAATTGATGTGGTAGATTTTTGTCTTTATTTTCTATAATTCAAATATTCATTACCTTCAAATTCATTAATTAATTATAGACTAAAGTGTCATCTCGCACCGTGAACCAATCCTGATTATTCATGCCGCAGCATAATCTTTAAAAAGTGATATTTAGAGTCATAAACCATAATTTTTTTTTCGTCTAAAACTTTTTACAGGTTTTCCTACAGCCCTACAGGTTACCAGTAATAATATTGCTGACATGAAATTCTTTATTAGTTTTTTTTTTTTTTTTTTTTTTTTTTTTTTTTTGTATTTTTCTTCTTTCGTATTATAATTTTTTTCGTATTTTTCTTTTTTTCCTAAACGTATAGGCATGCTCTGCGTTTTTCGCTTCTCGTTTCTTCTTTCACCTTCGTATTATTTTTTTCGTAACTTTTTTTTTTTGCTAAACGTATAGGCCTGCTTTGCGTTTTTCGCTTCTCGTTTCTCCGATTAGGCCTGCTCTGTATAGGCATGCTCTGCGTTTTTCGCTTCTCGTTTCTCCAATACCAAACTCCGTAGAGAATGCCTATACAGAGCAGGCCTAATCGGAGAAACGAGAAGCGAAAAACGCAGAGCATGCCTATACAAAAATTAATACGAAGGTGAAAGAAAAAAAAAAAAACTAATAAAAAATTTTATGTCAGCAATATTATTACTGGTAACCTGTAGGAAACCTGTAAAAAGTTCTAGATGAACAAAAATTATGGTTTATGGCTCTAAATATCATTTTTTAAAAATCATAGTGCGACATGAATAATCAGGATTGGTTCATTGTGCGGGATGACACTTTAGCCTTGATTATATTCACCACCTTGTTCATTGTCTTCTTTTTACACTCTTGTAATTAAATATTAAAGTTATAATACAAAATACGTTTATATATTTATTTAATTACCAAATATTTTATAATACCATGGAAAAAAAATAAAAAAAAACAATAGTCAGTCATATTAACTACTTGGGGAGGATTTGTTGAAAAAGAGGGTATTAAAATAATCGAAGAAATTGAAGCGGGAAACTATCCCGTAATATCTCTAGATTATATCACACTTCACTTTAAAGGTAAATCGTATTTTTTATTAAGATGATTTAAAATGTATAAAATTTTACTACCTTATCGAATCTTATTACTTAAATAAACTAGGAATTTCTTTATCCACAATAACTCATTCAACAATAATGGTTGAACTAAAAGTACCTTGAGCTGAACACCTAAAGAACTGGTATGCTTTTATGCTGATAATAATATGTAAATGGTAATTAGACCATTATCTAACATAGCTACATCTAAAACTCATTATTAAAAATGTCAATGTAGGGCCGCAATAGAACATCGTGACACACTTGACGTATTGAAAAGATGTCGAAACTACAACACTGTTGCAAATCCAGAAAATGAAACATGCATGTTCACCCACTTCAGTGTTGGACCTGTTCGTACCTCATTATAGTTGATGAGGGAATTGTTTCATCCTTTTGCTCTCCTGCGGCGAAAGGTAATTAGATTGATCAAATGGCTTCGACCGCCCTCAGGACGACTCAAACTCAATACTAACGCTACATTCTCCAATAGTGACGTGATTGGTGGTGCTTGTCTAAGAGACCCAGAGAGCTCCCTTGTTATGGCTCTTCATTTCCCACTGTCTGTGTCCTCGACTTTAGAGGCATAGGCCTAATCATTGGATCTAGCGATCAGATGGTGTGAGTTGATGGTCATTCAACTAGTGCTTGTTGAGGTGGACTCTCTCATGCTTGCCAATTACTTTAAATTGTCTTCTTTGTCCGTTCCTTGGTTTGTTCGTGGTGCTATTGATCGTATTTACACATTACTTTTCTCTTGGTTGGGCTCTATCTGTCACATTTTTTGGGAGGCCAATAGTGTTGCTGATGCTTTACCTTTAGTGGGCTTGAGTCACCCATCTTTTACGGTCTATCATTTCGTTGAGACTTTTAGGGGTGTGCAAACTTCGGATAATTTTCGGTTAACCGACCGAACCGACAAAGTTCGGTTAACCGTTTTCGAACCGAACTTTTTCGGTTCGGTTAATGGTTAAAGGAATTTTAAAATTTCGGTTAACGGTTAATTCGGTTCGAAAGGTCGGTTAACCGAATTAACCGAACGGTTAACCGAAGTTTTTAATATATATATAAAAATAATAATATAAATATAAATACTAATTTGAAATTATGGATGTTTGGAGTTTATAATTCATGTTATTTATATTTTGTTATGAATGTATTATGATATGTATTTTATTTTAATGCGATTTATTATTTTAAGTGTTATTTTTAGAATTTTAAATTTTAGCTTTAAAAAGTTCGGTTAATCGGTTAACCGACCGATTAACCGAAAAAAATTTCGGTTCGGTGAATTCGGTAGAGCAAACTTCGGTTCGGTTAACGGTTAAAGGAAAAAAAACTTCGGTTAATTCGGTTCGGTTAAAACGGTTCGGTTAACCGAACGGTTAACCGATTGAACACCCCTAGAGACTTTGCGTGCTTCTGTTCATGTGGCTTTTCTGTATGATCTCTGGGGTTTTGTTGCTCGCCGAGTGTTTAATCCTCAATAAAATCATTTTTTTTCTGAAAGAAAAAACCAAATAAGTAAATAATATTATATTTTAATTCTTACCACATATAAGAAAATAGTTGCAAAAAGAATAAAAATAAAAAAAAAAGGTCTGAGTTTTATTTTTTGTTTACATTAATTTAATTATTAGGAAATAATATAAAAACAAAATATTCATTGTTGTTGTTGTTATTATTATTTTTATTATTTTTATTATATTATTATTATTATTATTATTATTATTATTATTATGTTAGAAAATATTTGCTGTGAGTAAGTTAAGAATAATAAAAGTTAACGAAATATTATGTTACTAAAATTTGTATATAAATTTAAAAAAAAAAAGGAAAAATGATAATTATAAAATTTTCTTATCACTGTACAAGTTATCAATACATATTATTACACCTTTTCAAAAAAAAAAAATACATATTATTACGATTAGAGAATGTCTTTCGATTCAATTAGAAATAGGATAAAGATTACAGAGTATATCACAACTAAAACTCTAACTAACCCTGATAAGTAGAACTAGCCTTGACTAACTAATAATAACCACATACTATAAGACTATACATTATACAATAATAATATGAAAATAATAACTTCACTAATACACCCCCTCAAGCACAAGACGGCAGAGAGGCCACATTGAGCTTGCCTCGTAGAGTAGAAAAACGCGGTGACGGAAGCGGTTTGGTGAAGATATCGTCTAGCTGATCAGTAGTAGACACATAATTCACCACGAAATCCCCTGAAGCAACTTTGTAACGAACGAAGTGGTAGTCAATTTCCACTTGTTTAGTGCGAGCATGGAAGACCGGGTTTGCACATAGATACGTTGCACCAAGATTGTCACACCATAGTGTCGCAGGTTGACCAGAGTGTAACCCAAGCTCCTGAAGTAATGAAACAACCCAGGTGACCTCAGCGGATACATCAACTAACGTTTTATACTCAGCTTCAGTGGAAGAACGAGCCACAATGCGCTGTTTCTTGGACAACCATGAGATGAGATTGGAACCCAGATAAACAGCATAACCACTTGTACTCTTCCTGTCGACGGGACAGCCAGCCCAGTCTGAATCAGAGTAGGCATGAATGGCAGTAGAAGCGGACGGAATAAGCTGCAACCCATAGTCTAAAGTACCTTTGATGTATCGAAGGACTCGTTTTACTAGATTCCAGTGATCTTCTGTCGGGGAATGCATGAACTGACAAAGTCGATTGACAGCATAAGACAAGTCTGGACGCGTGATCGTCAGATACTGTAACGCGCCAACAATGCGTCGATACTGTGTCGGATTATCATACGGGGTATCCACCGTAGTGATTGACTTGGTGACAGCTGCTGGAGTGGCAAGCGGCTTACAGTCAACCATACCCGAGTGGCCAAGAAGATCCGTCATGTAGTGCCGTTGCGATAAAAGGAGACCATCGCCTACCACAACTGTCTCGATACCCAAAAAAAATCCCTGCGCTCCTAGATCTCGAATTTTGAAGGTTGTAGGCAGTCGCTATAGTAAAGTAGTCACAAGTTTGGCATCATTGCCCATCATAATGATGCCATCTACGTAGACCAACAAAAACACACGGGAGTCTCCTGCAGTGTAATAAAACAAAGAGACATCGGTTATGGACGCCTGAAAACCTGTGGATAACAGAAAATCATGGAGACGCTTGAACCAGGCTCTGGGTTCCTGTTTCAACCCGTAAAGAGACCGTTGTAGGTGACACACATAACCAGGTGTTGTAGGATCCTCATACCCTGGTGGCTGCTTCATGTAAACTGTTTCGGCTAGGTGGCTGTTTAGGAAGGCGTTGTGAACATCTAGTTGCCGTAGAGTCCAACCCTTGGATACAGCCAATGAAAACAGTATTCGAACTGTAGTGGGTTTGACTACTGGACTAAATGTGTCAAAAAAGTCCTCCCCTGCAACCTGGTTATACCCTTTGGCTACCAAACGAGCTTTATATCGCTCAACTGACCCATCCGCAGTGCGCTTAGTGCGGAACACCCACTTGCAACCAATAATATTCATATGAGGTTTAGGTGGGACTAGGCGCCAGGTATGATTGTGGAGAAGAGCATTAAACTCCTGATCCATAGCCTCACGCCAGTGTGCATGTTCAACGGCCTGTGAATAACACGTCGGGTCTGAACTGACAGTCAAGGCCTGAAAAGGCTCGTCCGTACCCTTAGTCATGTGACGAAGACGCATGACATGGTCTCACCCCTGTAGTTGAGCACGTCGCTTACGGGTCCGTGCCGGGGCAGTGTGAGTGATCGCCAGTTGTGGTGGATCACGCGCTAAGGGTATGGGCTCAGACTCAACAACCTCTCGGGGGCCCGGTGGATCAGTGGGCACTAAAGATGTACTGGTCGTGACAACAGGTGCTGCCGCCCACGGTAAAATCGGTAGAGGCGAAACTTGTTGCACATTTTTTGCTGAAAAATGAAACACATGTTCATCAAAACGGACATGGCGGCAGATATAGGTCTTACCAGTAGCCAAGTCAGTGCATCTGTATCCCCTAAAGGAGGATGGGTAACCTAGGAAGACGCATGGGGTGGAGCGGTACTCTATCTTATGCCTGTTATATGGGCGTAGATATGGGTAACACTGACACCCGAAGACGCGAAGGAAGGTATACAGAGGTGGTATTTTGAAGAGACGAGTGTATGGGCTATCATAATTAATGGCAGAAGACGGTAAGTAGTTGATTAAGATAGTTGCTGTTTCAAAGGCATATTCCCAATATTCGTGAGGTACTTTTCCCTCAGCAAGTAGAGTTAGGCCCATTTCGACAATGTGTCTATTACGGCGCTCTACACGCCCATTTTGCTCATGTGTGTATGCACATGACTGGCGGTGATTAATGTCTAAGGTTTGAAATACAGTATGTAATTTTCTGTACTCACCCCCTAGATCAGATTGGATTGACTTTATAGAACGCCCAAATTGGCGCTCGACCAAAACACGAAACGACTCGAAACATTTATATATGTCTGATTTTACCCGTAATAGATAAAACCAGCAGAAGCGGGAGAAATCATCTACAAATAAACAGAAATAACAATAACCACTAACAGATAGTACCGGGGATGGTCCCCAAATGTCGGTAAAAATAAGATCTAGTACATTTTCACTAGAACGTGGTACACTGTCTAATTTAAAACGCGATGATTCCCAAGATGGCACGAGACGCAGGAATTGACTAGATCATTTTTATTGGATTTAACTGGGTAACTTTGTAGAACTTTATTCTGGACAGTTTTATGCGGGTGACCGAGCCTTTGGTGCCAAACCGTAGGGGTGGCCCGGGAACTGACATACGCAAAATGTGAAGGTGACGCCGAAAGCTTGTAAAGTCCGCCCATAGCCGGACCTCTAAGCAGGACCACTTTGGTGATGGAATCCTTCACAAAAAAACAGGAATCATGAAACTCAAAGTATACACCGTTATCAACTGCAAATTTATGAACAGAAAGTAATGGGACCGAGAGACTCGGGACATGCAATATATTATTTAAACAGAGAGATTTTGACTCGGAAGGGAGAGATGCACGACCGACTCTAGTAATAGCCAAACCTGCACCATTACCCACATGTAGCACATCAGAACCAGTGTATTCCTCCGACTGCCCCAACATGTTCGTATCGGGGGTCGCATGCGCGGTGGCACCGGTGTCCGGAGCCGGCGGAGTGTCGCCCGACACGGCGACGTGAGCTTGCGGCGCGGCCAGTTGCGGATGATACCACTTGAAGCAGTACATAGCCGAATGTCCATGGGAGCGACAAATCTGGCACCGAGGACCTCCGCGGCCACCTCGGTTCTGCCGGCCACCGCGCCCACCACGGCCACCGGACGAGGAGCCTCGACCCGATTGTTGTTGATGTCGTCCGCCTCCAGAAGACACACCACGACCATTGCCGGCATAGAACGCCGAGTGGGCAGCAATTTCGTCGGCAGCAGGGAAATCATCCACCAGAATGAATTCATTTGCTTGCAGATAGTCCGAAAGATGCGCAAGGGTGACTGCACTGCCGGAGGTGAAGGAGGCCGCCAACGTTTTCAGTTCCGGACGCAGGCCGCGGATGACGTACAAATTTTGCTCCATCAACGATAAAGGCCTGCCGGCCTGGATTAGAGACTCCACCAACACACCCGCGCGCCCGAGATAATCAGCGGTGGTGGAATTCCCTTGGCGGAGAAGCTGGAACTGCGCCAACAGATTGAGACACTTAGCTTGGCTGGAGGACCCTAGCGCCGTGGTGATGGACTCCCACATCGCAGCAGACATGTTTCGGCCAAGCGCAAGGTACAAGACCTCATCCGACATCGACGAGATCACAAGTGAAAGAATCAATTGATCCTGTTTCACCCAGACTTGGTATGCTGGATTCGGAACAACGCTGACCGCCGGAATGGTACTGGAATCCGCAGATGACGAAGGGGCGGCGATCGTTGCCGGCGGGCATGACAGGCTACCATCTACATAACCGAGGAGTTCCTGGCTCCAAAGAAATGGGAGCAGCTGCGTACGCCAGAACAAGAATTTCCGGGATGTCAGCTTCATGGTTACATAGTGGTGGGCGCCTGCGAGAGAGCTTCCGGCGACCGGAGATGGCGTACCGGCGGCAGCGGCGGAAGGGGTGTGCTCAGAAGAGTTCGAAGACATCTCGGTCAGAAGGTGGAAAAACAGATAATTTGGTGGTGGAGGTTACGGTGGAGAGGGGGTAATTTGACGGTGGAGATGAGAAAATAGGATCGAGTCCCGGCTGATACCAGATAAGAGAATGTCTTTCGATTTAATTAGAAACCGGATAAAGATTACAGAGTATATCACAACTAAAACTCTAACTAACCCTGATGAGTAGAACTAGCCTTGACTAACTAATAATAACCACATACTATAAGACTACATTATACAATAATAATATGAAAATAATAACTTCACTAATAATTACACCAACATAATTTTTGTTTCCATTATAATCTTACCAACATTAACTCTTGTATATATATAAATTATAAAGATATACGCGGTGTATAATAATTCATAAATCATAGACGAGAGATAAACCCAACAATAAAGAGGTAAACAACACACAGAAATGCTAGCAATTCCAAGGACTTTTCTTGTATTAATATTGAAGTGAGAAGACTAAGATTTTATAAATGTTCTCTCAGCTTATTATGTTTTGCTAAAGTGATAATGATTTTGCATGCTTATTATATAATTGTCAAAACATCTACAATCTACATCTGCATTCAAAAAAAATCTACAATCTACATCTAAAATCTAAAAATTTAATAAGAGCCAATAAAGTTAGGCCTTAATGTGAACAAAAAAATACTGGTGTAATTGTTTGTTAAAATGAATGGTTAATATTATTTTTATTTTAGTATTTTTTTAAGGATTTTCCTTATTTACCCTCTATTATGTTATTTTCTTCCCTTAAATAATCCTACATTTTGTTAATATAAACTTTAGTAATGAAATATTCCGTTAACTATCACTACTGGAAATTATGGAATTTTCGACCACCTGAAAATGATCTTAAATCAAGTCGAAAGCCTTGTTCCGACCACTTTTTGGTATGAACTTGATTTAAGATCACTTTCAGGTGGTCGGAAATTCCATAATTTCCAGTAGTGTATATATTTATTATTCTTATAACTTACTCATTAATTTGTATAAGAAGGTCTTAGGTTCGAACCGCATCTCAATCAGAGTTGGCATAATTGTTAAATATATACTACGAATATGTCTGTCTTTGGTGGCAATTCCAAATTTAGTCCCAGACTATCGTTTTTGCCATTTTACATCCCAAACTATTATTTTTTGGACACTTTTAGTCCTTCTCATGATTTTTTCTATTTTTAGTTAGGGCATTTTTGTCTCTTCATATTTTGCTTTTGTTATTTTTCCGGTTTTAACCAGTTTAATTGGTTTAAAACTTTAGGTAACCTTTGATTTTTAGTAACCATATTTTTCAACCAATTTTTAGTAAAGTTCTAAACCAATTAAACTAGTTGAAACCGGAAAAATAACAAAAGAAAAATATGAAGAGACAAAAATGCCCTTATTAAAAAATAGAAAAAATCATTAGAATGACTAAAAGTGTCCAAAAAATGATAGTCTGGGATGTAAAATTGCAAAAACGATAGTCTGGGACTAAATTTGAAATTTCCACCAAAGACAAGGGACCTCCGGTGGAATTAAGTCATATAAAATTTAACATAAACTTTGGTCAAATAATTAGCGCGACTAAATACATAGCATTCAAAGTTGAGCATCAAAGATTATAAATCAGGAACCTTGAAAATTATTTTCTTGCATTTAAAAAAAAATACCAAAACAAAAATAAATTTGGGTTAAGTTTTTTTTTTTTTTTTTTTTTTCGTTTAATTAATCTTCTTTTGATTATTTAGAACAAGACTCAATATTTTAATTATATTTTTGCATTATTGGAATGATTTAGGCCATTATGGTATTAACTAGATAGTTTTACACGCGCATTGCGTGAATGAGTTAGTGTCCAATATTTATAATTAAATAAATATTTGAAAGTATATCAATGCAAGATTATATATGAGAAGTTCATACATAAGTAATTTAATGTCGAATTTGTTTATTTAAATATGTAACTGATATTATATATATGAATACACTGTAATATATGAGATTCATTATAATTGTTACTAAACTTTTTTTAAATAGTAACCAAGTATTTTTGTTGCAAAGGGTTCTAATATGTTTAATGAATGCACATATATACAAGATCAATGAATGAATCAACAGTACCAGTTCTTTAGGTGTTTTGCTTAGTGTTCATTTAGTTCAACCTTGTTGAATAAATTATTATGGATAAAGAAATTTCTAATTTAAGAAATTTAGATGAAGTAGTAAATTTTAAAATTTTTAATTATAATGTAATCCAAATATATTGGACGATTGGTAAATATGATGTAACCCAAATATCAAAATGCTAAAGAAAGTGTTTGGTTATTCAACAATTTGAAGCAACAATTTGTTCCAAGCCACTGAAAATACAAATATTGCAATTTACAATATTTTCACTTAGCGTTTTTGAAAATGATTTCCCCAAAACACCTTCATATTTTATTTTATTTTATTTTTTTTTAAAAATACTATAGCGCCATTTCGATTCCTTGAATAACAAGAGCCAGTTTCGCTGGCTCATTGCTTGTCCATCAACGGATGGGCAAGCTTAATTTTTAAATTGGAGCCTTAAAGCTCCTTTTATAGGAGCCTCAAGGCTCCCATGTCACTTTTTCCACCAATGTGGAAAATGTGGCAAAACTAAGAGGAGCCGAACGTTCGGCTCCACATATGTTTTATTTTATTTTATTTTTTTGATTTTATTTCTTTTATTATTATTATTATTATTATTATTATTATTATTATTATTATTATTATTATTATTATTATTATTATTATTATTATTATTATTATTATTATTATTACTATTATTATGTATACCCTTAGGTCATTTTACATGTTAATTTAAACAGCTAATTTTTTCAAATATTATTTTACAAACCGTTGATATAATTCGCTGGTCAAATCCGCTAACGCTAACCACTAACTGCTATTGGCAAACAATGACATTGCGAGTTTCCACTTCAAATTATGTGTGATTTGAATACTCTCTTTGTCAACAAATCCCTCAAGTAGTTAATATGATTGGCTTGATTATATTTTTTTAATTTTTTCATGGTATTAATAAAATACTTGGTAAATAAATGTATAGCATTATTTTGTATTATAACTTTGATATTTAATTAAAAAATAGTGCACAAAAAAGAATATAATCAATTGATGAATTTGAATGTAATGAATTTTTACATTGGAGAAAAATAAAGACAATATAACTAATGAAATTATTTCTCTTAATTAATTTATTGATAATGAATTTTTTTTTAATAAAAACATTGTAGGGACAATGTTGCGAATATAATTCAATTGATGAATTTGAATGTCAAGAATTTTTATATTGAAAAAAAATAAAGACAATATAACTAATGAAATTATTTCTCTTGTCACTACTAGAATTTTAACATTTAGCGACGTTTTTTAACGTCACAAAAAAATAAAAAAACGTCAGCAAATGTATTTACCGACGAAATAAAAAAGTCACCCCGACCGCCGGGTTAGCGACGTATGGAAATGTATTACTGACGTAGTTATGTTTTCGTCACTAAATATTACTATTACTGACGATTTTGCATGGTCTTGATAATTTCATGGAATACATACATTTTGAAACGAAAGATAAACAAAAACGTCAGTAATAATTTGTGACGAAATAAAATATTTCGTCAGAAAATGTATCTTTACTGACGTTTTCCATAAAATGGTGGTTGTCATTAATAAATTGAATTGGCGACGAAAATTGAAATGCGTCAAGAAAATAACATTTATTGACAATTATGTATATATTATTCTGCTTGTCATTAAAAAAAAAAAAGTAATTGCTGATGAAATACCAATTTGTCAATAAAAATAAATTTACTAACGTTTTTCCGTATTCCTAGTCATCACTAAATTTTATATTTGGAGATATTTATAATTTTTTTAATAATTGATGATAATTTACATATAGTTATATCTAAAAATATTTTCACAACAATTTCATGTAATTGAAATAAAATATTTTAGCATCAATTAAAATTTCAAAATACAACAATATTTTTCATATTACAATATTAAATTACAAGAACGTAATGTGATATAAATGGTTCCTAAATAAGTTGGCCAGACTAGACGTTAGAATATATGCAATTCTATGCACATAAAGACAGATAATAATTAAGTTTATCAAAATTATTGTGGTCGGCACTTTAGAAATTATTGATAATGAATAATTTTTTTTGAATAAAGGCATTATAGACACATAATTCCAAATTAAAGAAATGCATATTTATTATTTTTTGTTGTAGCTACTAAATTATTATTTTTAATTTAATAAGAGTAAAATAGGGTACTAATTATGCCAACTTTGATTGGAATTGTGTTGGAAACCTAAGACATTTCTTATTGAAATCAATGAGTAAGTTAACGGTGAACTAACATAAATTAATGGAGAAGATAATATTTAATGGAAAAGTTAACGGATAATCATATAATTAAGGATAAATTAGGAAATCTCAAGGAAAAATTAAAATCTAAGCCATTCATTTGATTAAACAATTTGACCGTCATTTTTCTACCCATTATAGGCCTCACTCTCTTTGGCTCTTATTAGCATAGTAGATAGATATTTTTTTGTATGTATTTCTATAATGGTACAATTGTAAATTACTTTACAAATATTGTACTATTATTTTTTTATCGGACAAAATTGTTCTTACATATCATTGTCAAGCCTGCGCTACCTAAATACAAAGCTGTTGATAAGAAATACAACTAAACTCTAAAATGGTAGGACTATTTTTCAAAGAATTGACAATGTTGACATCCCACTAGCTCCAATTGAACAAGTTTACACATCATCATTCTCAGAATTTTATGAATGTATAATTTTTCAATGCATGAAAACTTTTAAAAAATTACTATATCAGTTTAACAATATATATTATAACCATATATTTCGAATTATTTTCTATCGTCCTCTATTGACATCAATTATAGCAATTGTTATTGACAAACTACTAAAATAATTTGTCTCAACAACAAATGAAAATTAAAAAGTCAATGACTTCATTAGTAGCTACAACAAAAAATAATACATATGCATTTAAGTGAAGGGGGCTTCTTGTGCGCAATGAGCACCGGTCTAGCCTCTATGGTTCATGTTCAGTTGAGTCACCATGATTTACATCCTCCCAAATGCTCTGTCGGGCCGGGGTGTGGGGGGCCCTTAGGGTTGGGGTTCAGCCTTCTGGAATAAGAATTAGATGTCTATAATGCCTTTATTCAAAAAAAAAAAAAAAAAAAAAAAAAAAAAAAGTTTATTCACTATAAAAAAAAAAACTTTTAAAAGAGATACAATTTCATTAGTTATATTATCTTTATTTTCTATAATTCAAAGATTCTTTACCTTCAAATTCATTAATTAATTATATGAGTTAATACAGAAAATCGTCCTCGACTATAGTGGTTTTTCTCAATTTCGTCCTAAACGACTTTGGTGACCTAATATCGTCCCAGACTTTGTGTTTCGCTCAATTTAGTCCCAGACTTTTGTGTTTTTGCTCAATTTAGTCCCTCATTTGTTATTCTGTCCATTTGGTGTTAAATAAATAGACAATTCAGTAATTTTAATATTGGCATCTCTTTACTCATAGACATGTGAACTGCGAAATCTTTTTTTTTTTTTTTTTTTACGAATTACTCCCAGAATTACTCCTAAAACTGCGAATATAAAATTTGATTTGTAGGTCCGGGAGTAATTCTGGGTGTAATTCGTACAAGAAAGAGGAATTTCACACTTTACAAGTTGAAAGTAAAGAGAGATCAATATTGACATTATTGAATTGTCCCTTTATTTAACACCAATTTGACAGAATAACAAATTGAGGACTAAATTGAGCGAAACACAAATGTCTGGGACGATATTAGGTCACTAAAGTCGTTTAGGACGAAATTGAGAAAAACCACTATAGTCGAGGACGATTTTGGGTATTAACTCTTAATTATATTTACTAAATTGTCTATTTTCTTCTTTCTACACTATCTTGTAATTAAATATCAAAGTTAATGTCACAAAAATATCAAAGTTATAATATAAAATATGTTATATATATTTATTTACCAAGTATTTTATACAAATATAATAAATATTAATATTTTGTTCAATAGTTTCACATGATAATCCACGACACACATCTCACAACACATTAAACATGTAGGAAAAAAAAACTATCACGGTCAAATATCAACAGACGCTTACAAAATAAAGAGTTCATAGCACAACTAAGATCTCAATCATATACACAACAAAGCAAATCTAAAACTTTCTACACCAATATCTTATTGTATGACGCTGCCATCTATGCTACCCCTAGTAATTCAATTGCACATGCCACACTACCAATATAAAAGAAAATGACAAGTACGGAAGATGAATACATTGACAATGCTAGCTACCCAAAAGAGAATTAAGAAGACTAAGAGAAATTTAAATCAAAAGTAGTATTTATTTAGACTATTATGTTTAGACTAAGTATTTAGACTAGCATTATTACAAAGTTATAAACATTTATTTTAGTGACAATTATAATCAATCTGTCATATATTCGTACATTTATATACTTTGAATTACTGATTTAAATAAACAAATTCAACATTCAATTACTTATGTATGAACGTCTCCTATATAGTTTTGCATTTATATATTTTGAATTACTTATTTAAATTAATTATTGGGCATTATTCTATTCGCGCAATGGGCTTGAAAAAAACTAGTTATATTTATAAAATTGGATGAAATTTTTTAGTACTATTGATTATGTTACAATGCATGTATGATGTATTTGTGCAGAACAACTTTCTATACTGAAGCACAAATCCTCTAAAGCTCGGAGCAATTTAGGGCCACTAAATCACAAGGTCAATGACTAAAATTGGATGAATTTATGACCTAGCCAATAAAAAGTCGAACAAGACATAATATGAATAACAACGTAACAATCTCAGCAAAGTTGATGTTAACTCTCTATGGAAGAGAACTATTGTATCAAGATTTTGGTTGTCATGCCATTTGTCCAGATTAGGATCTATTTAATAATATAGTTAGCTTATCAATTAATTTTAACTTATTTGACTACTATTAGCTGTTTAACTTGTTTAAACATTCAATATTAATGTTTGATTAATTAATTTTATTGCTGTTAAAATTCAAAATTGATCAACTTTTAGAAAAAATCATTTTACATGTAATCAACTATCAACTAATTACCAAACACATGCATTTATATAACAAAATTAAGCTAAATTATATATAACTCATCATAATATATATGTCTAGTCTTGTACTCTTGTAGATCAGATCTATTTCGTTAATAATTTCATTAACACATGCGGCACATAGGTAAAAGCTGAGATGAGTACAATACAAGAAAGGAGATGGCGTATTGCGAAGGCCTAATAATCTCCTCATTATTCAAGGATAGATGCATGCAGTACAGCAAACTTGAAGTTTGCATTTTATTGGTGCCGCCGGCCGGCCGGCAGACCGCCGGATGTTTCTAAACCACAGTTACGATCTTACGGAACGACGATGGTTCCTCTTCGCAATAGGGGGTTCCATTCTGGTCGAGGAGTATGCAGCCCATGCTTTCTGCTACGCAACAGTTTGTGCAAAGTTGCCCAACTTTCTTCACCTTCGTGTACTGACGAGGGCACAGCATAATCTCTGCTCGCCCGTCGCAGTTCAGAGGGCAAGGCTTCGATTGCGCATTTGCATGCTTCACCTCCGCAACAATGCCTGCGGGCATATATAAACTCGATCAAACCCTTTAGCCGCCTAACAACTTAGGGTGTGCACATGGGAATGGAAATTGGAATGGGAATCAAATATTTATAACGTTAATGTTTGGTTATGTATAACTCTATAATGAAAATAAAGGATTTTAAAAATATATATAAAAACAAATTGATCACATCTAAAGCACTAATATGAACAAAACAATAGGAACAAAAATCTAAAAACATTAATCCAAACTTAAAAATCAGATTACTAATAAATTAGAATAATACCCGTTTTTAATAAGGGTATGAAGTTTTTAATTAGAAGTTGTCGACCAAACACTAATTATGATTTTAATTTCTATTCTTAGTGTGTAAATCCATAAACCAAACATATCCTTAAAGATCATATATTACTAATAAGACAGAATGACACTCATTAACCTATGATTTAGAGTGGAAGACGACGTGGTATATACCGCAGAGGAGAAGGAGGAGGAGAGTGACGGAGCCAAGTTTGGTGCTGCTTGCCGCCATGGATGCTACCTTAATTAGCTTCAATTCTCACTTCTTGAAAGATAGTGCATTTGTGGTTGATGAGATATGAAAGTGTTGTACTACTATCATATCCCATTTATAACATACACTGCACTCATCAATATAATGCCACATCACAACATTTATCAAACACTATCCAGTAATTAATTAAACAGAGTAAAAATGAATTGTTTATCTATATATGGTTTAGATTAGAGCTAGGTGTCTTCTATTCAAAATGCATGCATGCATGCATGCAGATCAGATGTATATATTTACGAGGATAGCTTGATGTAGTCCATCTGTCATACATCTTTTCTTCGTCTTTCCATGCAGAGTTCTTTGTTGACACCTTGCTTTCATGGCATAGCTTGTTTCATGGCTTTTGCCTGCCACCTGCTTGTCTTCTCTGTTTGCATGTTTGATTCCTGTGATTTTTGTATTCTTTTACTGCACTGATGATATGATATTGATAAACCACCATCTATCTAACACTCTACTCTAACGTAAGTAATGGTAACTTTATCCTACATGGATAACTAAATTGATTTCTTATAATAAATTGTAAGTAAGGACACAAAATTAAGCCCAAATAGTCACAATTTGAGAATTTCACTTAATGTAATAGGCTTTTATAGGCACTCAATATTGGTCCTCCCACTTAATTAGTGTGTTGTTAAGTTACCAAGAATTATCTCTTCAATTGTACTTGTCTACTACTAATGAATAAATTTTGCACGCATGGGCAACTCATAACTGGTTATAAAGATGAAAATTGAAAAGAATGACTAGGGATTGAGTCTCACTAGCTGAAGTGTGGGAGGGCTCTTTGTGTGCAGTAAGCAAAGGTCTACCCTGTGTGGGAAGGTTCTTTGTGTGCAGTAAGCAAAGGTTTAACCTCTGTGGTTCATGTTCAGTTGAGCTACTATGATTTACATTTTAAAATATATATAGTTGGTTTTGGGAGATTTGAAAAGGAATAGATATATTTGGAAAGAATTAGGGATGTGTTTGGTTGAGGATTTTTGCACACTATTATAGATTTTGATAGCTATTATTATGTTTATTTATCTATTTTTGTTATCATACTATTGGATTAAAATCCTTTAGTAATTACAAAACAAATAAATTAATAACTCATTGTCTATGCATTAAATATGAAATTATAATATACATACACATATACATATGTGTGTGTGTATATACTTTTTATATATTTATTTAATTATTTATTTATTTTGTTTCAAATTTATATTTACTATCAAACAAAATGACTTATTCTATGCAAACCCATTATCATTACCATTGAGATTTTGATGTTTGAACCAAACACACCCTTAGAGTGTTAAGAAAAAAATTAAAATTGCTTTCTACAGAGATCCTTACCATTTTATAGGCTTTATCTATCATCCATTTTATAGGCTTTATCTATCATTACAGCCAACCCAAAAAAATAACTGACACTTTTGTAAATCTCTCCTTTTGATGAATTGGAGATGGGTCCCGAGCAAATTTAATTGAACAGACGAGTTAAGTCAACTCGAGATGGTTGACCCCGTAATCGGCCTCAAGGGCCAAGGCCACCTTGTAGTTGGCTTTAAGGCCCCAAAGCCAACCATGAGACTAGCCAATAGCTAGCAATCTAACATGAGACGTCGGTTGACGGGTCAATAGGCTCAGTCGAGACAATCTAACTCTCATAACCACCGCCCAACAATTATATTGTATTAAAAGTTCAAATTATTTTTAATAAAGCATTAAATTATAAGTATGGTACCATGAGACAAATCTCATTATTCTGACTTACATTTTAGAACAAATTAAACAGGCCAATTTGATATTTGCTTACACATAAGCCTAATCTCCTCATTATTCAAAGATAGAGTACTGCAAACTCAGCGTTTACGTGTCATTTTTTCATTGGCTGCATGCATGCATGGACCGACCGGATCTAGTTAATTAAACCATAGTCTAATCTTATTGAAGAAAGATTGTTCATCCTTGCAAATGGGATATCCAAAGAAGTTGTACAACATGCACCCACGACTTTGTGCCGTGCAACAGTTTTCACAAAGTTGACCAATTTGCATCGCCTTCGATTCCCGAGGGCAAATGATAAACTTTGCTCGAGGGTCACACTCTAGAGTGCAAGCTTTTACTTGGCCATTTGCATGCTTCACTTCACATCCATGCACAAAAACAATGCCTACATATAAAAATACACCTCTCTTTGTTAGTAAAGATGATGGTATATATATTCAAACTCAAGATTTCTTGACTTTCTTACATAACAAAATATGAGAAAGTATTTAAGCAAACCATTAGGATTTTGTGACGATTCTTATGGAAGAACTTCGGGGCATTTATTGTGTTTTAACATTGTGCGGGCTGGTGAAAGGGTAGAGGGACATTGAACTTGAAAGTAACTTATTATTAGCTAACAACCATTTACCAAACAGGGTCTAAACGCTTAAGTGTGAGGGTAATAACAAATTAAAGTAGATTGCCACTAGCACCTTATTGGAGCTATTTGAGAGTTTTGAAAGAGAGACGAGGCTTGCTCACTTCGGCATATACAAAGGGAGTCTAACAGATGTGAAGATTGAAGTGTATGTCGATCAATCTAAACTATAGACTTAGCAGTGGTGGCTTTCTCTTTTTTTTTTTTTTCTTTTTTTTTTTTTTTGTTAATTCCCAGCAAAAGTGAAACAAGTTGATTGCTTGTTTTTGAGGACATTGTTGGTGTGTCTTTATCTCTGGTTTATATAGTTTGATTGCAATTTTTTTCATCAATAATGTATTTTAAAAAAAAAAAATAAAGACATGAAAATATTTTAACAAAAATTTTAAACTTGGATACTTGTGTAAGACGACATACTGCATAGGAGGAGGAGAGTGACAAATCCAAATTTGCTGGTAGCCATGGATGGTACCTTCAATCTTCACTTGTTGAAAGGAATTTGCTTTGCATGTAATTACTTAATTTTGTTGATGAATGGAAAGTGTTATTCTAGTATCCCATTTATAGCAAACCAATAATGACTGGGGACAAAAGTTAGGTATGATCATTTATTATTTATCCAAACGTATATACAGTGGACATTTCTACATTGTACAATAATTTTTACGTATTATTTATCCAAACGTACTGTGAACATTTCTACATTGTACAATAATGTTTATTAAATGACACACGACACAACATCAAATCTTATGTTACTATAAAACCAAGTAGTTTGAGATGAATAATCCCCCCAACATTTGCAAGGCTAAATTGCACGACATATTTTTATAGGATTCAAACACGTGACTTTGATACCAATAGTCGAGATTAAGCTATAGCTAATAGCAATTATGTCTTTACACTTTTATAGCTCTCAACGCCATGTTTAAATAGCAGAAGTTGGACTAGACTCTCGATCAAAACCATTGCCCAATAAAAATATGTCTTATATATAATTAGGATCAAACGAGAATAAGTCTGTAAGTAACCAAACAGTAGTGCCGCGTGGGAAAAGTTAGGCATGATTATTGATTATATATTGGTAAAAGTTAGGTATAGTTATTAATTATGTATTTAATAAGAAGACTAATTGAAGAAAAAAACGATTTCATGCATGGTAGTGTGGTACCACATCACATTAATTATTTAAACCACGTTTAAAAAATGTATTTTTCAAATTAAAAAAAATAAAGAATACAGAATGAAAAATTAGTGAAATATATATGGGAGTATTAAAAGATGCAGCTCACAATACAAAGATTGAGGGTCTTGTCTCGATGTCAAGTAAAAGAGTGTTTTACATTTTTTTTCTTTTTTTGCATTTTTATCCATATATATAATATACATTAACATCTCAGAAAATGAATACTTTATTATCTATTCTCGTGCAATGGATGAGTATAATACTTACGATGAAAAATGGCTTGGTTCCTGCCCTTTTTAATTCCTACTTCACTACTTGTTTACTACCAATGAATAGTTATGGTTTTGGGAGATTTTCAAAAGGAATAGATATTTTTGGAAAGAATTTAGCCCGTATTTGGTTGAGGACTTTTGCACCCTATTATGAGTTTTGATACAATTATTATGTTTATTTATCTATATTTCTTATCTTACTATTGGATTAAAATCGTTTAGTAGTTAAAAAATTCATTACCATTTGTTTTTATTTTATTTTATTTTATTATAAGGAAGGGATACCCTACATATACACACTACTCAACTCAACTAAGGTTCGAACCTATCACCTCCCACTTAAGAAAGTAACCCAATACTAGTGGACCACAAGCCACTTAGTCCATTTAAACAATGAAATAAAAAATAAGGGATAAAAAATTAAAATAAATAAATAAATAACTCATTGTCCATGCATTAAATATGAAATTTTAATATACATACACATATGTGTGTGTGTGTGTGTGTGTGTATATATATATATATATATATATATATATATAATTTTTATATATTTATTTATTTTTATTTTAATTAATTAATTATGTATTTATTTTGATTCCAAATTTATATTTATTATTAAACAAAGTGACGTATTCTACTTAAACACATTATCATTACAATTGCGATTTCAATGTTTGAGGGCCAAACACACCCTCAAAGTGTTAAGGAAAAATTAAAGTACTTTCTACATGTAGAGAAAACTGTGAGCTCATTACCATTTTATAGACTTTATCTATCATTACAGCCAACCCACTAAAATAAATTGATAATTTTGTAGATCTTTCTTTTTGATTGATTGGAGACGGATCCGGAGTAAATCAACCTGAAGAGATAAGTAAAGTCAACTCGAGATAATTGACCCGATAGTCGGCCTCGGAGGCCAAGGCCACCTCGTAGTTGGCTTTAAGGCCCCAATGCCAACCATGAGACTGACCCCGAGCAATCCGACACGAGCCTGAGAGGTCGGTTGGCGGGTCAATGGGCTCGACTGAGGCGGTCGGAAGCTTGGTCAAGCGGGATGGTAACCCGCCTTGAGCAAGGGAACCCGATTCGCTCGGAGCCGTTATGAGGGAGGTAGAGTGTAAAACTAGTTATTTTGTCTATTTCAAACCTTACATTGTCTTTACATTCCACTTAGTTTAATTAATCAGATTTAGTTAATTCGAGTCCCAGATTAATTAATTCCACCACTTTCCATTCATTAACATCGGCAAAAGCTTCAGATCAGTACAAGAAAGGCCGGAGATGGCGTCCATAGGCCGCCTAATAATCTCCGATCCTAATTATTCAAAGATAGATGCAGTAGTACATAGAGCAAACTTGATGTTTGCGTTTTATTGGCGCATGCATTCATGGGGATCTAAACCATGGTTGCCATCTTACGGATAAACGAGCGCTCCTCTTCATGGCAATAGGCAGTTCCCTTTTGATCGAAGAGTATGCAACCCATGTTCTCTGCTGCGCAACAGTTCATACAAAGTTGATCTGCAACTTGCTTCACCTTTTGCCCCGGCAGACGAGGGCAGATCATATACTCTGCTCGACCGTCACACTCTTTAGTGCAAGGTTTCATTTCTTGGGCATTTGCATTCTTCACCACCATAACAATGGCTGCATGCACAAACCCAAACCTTTAGCTTAACATCGAAAAGAAAAGCCTACACAATTGTTAGACTCAAGTGTTTATCACTATGGTCCTGTTTGGTAAATGGCTGTTATAGTTACAATTAGTTGATTGGGTTAAAGGGCATGACTAGTAGTTGATAACATTAGCTGTAGATAGATGTTTGGTAAATTTGGTATAATTTTTTTTTTATCAAAAAACTAATTGAAAAAGTTGCTTTGAGCAGTGTTTTGAATTTAACATTTTGAAGTTACAAAAAACTAATTAACTAAACATTTTTTTTAATAGTGATCAAATAAACCAAAATAGACCGATAAACTAACTATTTTACCAAACATACATGACCATAATTAGTAACATACTAACAAATACTTAACTTATAATTATTTCTTTATACTTAGCTTGCGTAACAGATAACTCCATATTTCTATAGCAGAATGTTGGACTTAACCCATCAAGTCCCCGCCATTGAAACATTGTAATAAAGGCTACACATAGGGGCATATCCAAGGGGAAATGGGGGCAGTCCCACCCCCTATATATATGTATATATAGTAGTAACTTATATATATAAACAAAATGTATATATAAATTACTAATGTGTATATAAGTTACTAGATGTTTAGATAGTTGAGTAGATTGTTCGATACCATATGTTTATTTGAACTTCGTTCTCACTCAAAAAAAATTCGAATTCACTCCTGACAACACAATTAGGAAATGAAATTTCACTTTTGCTATTAACTTGGTATAACTTTTAATTTGACAATGCTTGATGCTAACCATATTAATCATTAAATATCGCCATGGAAGTAACAAGCTAGAGGACATATTATTTACCGCAGAGGAGGAGGAGAGTGACAAAGCCGAGTTTGGTAATAGCCATGGATGGAACCTTCAATCTTCACTTCTTAGCTAGAGGGGATATGCTTCAATAACTAGTGTGTTGTATGATGACTAGAAGCAGTATGCATGTATCCCATTTATAGCAACCAAACAATGCCACAAGACAAAAAAAAAAAGTTAGGCATAGTTACTTTGGTGATTACCCAAAAATATTTATAATATCATTGTATAAAATATTATAAACTAGGGAGTTTGTGTTTTGTGCATAAGTATACTTACGAGGATAGCTTGGATGTAGCCATGTGTAATATGTATATATATTTTTCATCCATGAATGCATGCTTGCAGAATTGTTGCCACCTTGCCTTCGATCATATAATTCATAACCATTTGAAATGTTTTGTAATGTTTTTAACACCAAGTTCGATGACTTCGATCATATAATTCATACCATGTGAAATGATTGTGTTACAAAGTTTTGAAAATAGTAATGTTTCAACAAGTTGTAATGAATATAGCTCAACATGTGCCTCTAGAATAAGTAATCAGATGAACATTTTTCGAATTTCAACCTATGGTCCGAACAAACTTTATACATACATATATATATATATATATATATATATATATATATATATATATATATATATAGGGAAGGGATCAGGTGCATTTGTTGCTTCCCGTGCGGTTGTGCTGTGAATTAATGTGCGTGAGGTTTATACTTAATGTGCGTGAGTGTTATGTTCAATATGCTTGAGATTTGTACTTAATGTGCGTCATATTAATATGCGTGAGTTTTGTACTTAATGTGCCAGAGTATTGTGCTTAATATGCGTGGGATTTGTACTTAATGTGCGTGAGTAATAAGAGAATTTTCAACAATCTGGAATTGAAGCAAACAACAGAAGTTCCAGATTCTCGCACCAAGATCGGTCTGCATAGACCATTGATAAGGATAGAATTTGTGTATTCACTTTGGGAAGCTTTTATTTCATTGTAAACATCAGTAAAGCAGAGCAACACACTATTATATGTCGTTATTTAAACTTGAAGATTCAAATATTTCATCTTGGATAGAACAAAAAGAGCATCAGCAACCATCTCAGATGTCGAATAAGCACAAGCCAGCATATTCCATACCACATTATGAGCAACCCAATAATCGAAGTTATTCTGAAGCAACTCATAGAGTGCAGGTACTGGGGATGGGGAAGAAGCTGATATCCATATTTTCTGTTGCATTTTACACATTCACGCACATTAAGTACAAATCTCAGGCACATTAGACACAACACTCACGCACATTGAGTACAAATCTCACGCACATTAATAACCGCACAACCGCACGGGAAGCATTCAACCGCACGGGAACCTTTCACTATATATATATATATATATATATATATATATATATATATATATATATATATATATATATATATATATATATATATATATATAGGAAGGTTCAAGTGCGGCGGTGCGGTCAATTGTAGGCCATTAGATTAGATAAATTCAACGAATCACATTCGTCAGGGCTTCTCCGATATTTTCGCGCGCGTTCTCACTCTATGCGAAATGCAAGGCTAAAGTCGTCACTGGGCACCAGAAGAGGGCAAATCATAGTGTTGTGTGTTTTATGTTCGTTATTGGTGCATTATTAACCTTACTCGGGTGTATTTGTGGATTCGTGTTGGTGCCTTCCTGTGCGGTCAGTGCGACCGCACTAATCGTTATACAAATATACACCATCCATGTTAGAAAATGCACACCAAAAAAACATGGACAAATTCGGTACGCATCACCAGGACACACCATTAGGTATGAATAAAAGCACCACACAGTGTTCGGAAATACACCATTGGGGTGGTGAGTTATATGGTGTATTTTATTTGGGTGTGTTGTGTGTTATTGTGCATTTCATTGTTGTGCTTTTCCTAACACTATTAGTGTCTTTTGTTAACATTGTTGGTGTATTTTGTTAACACTGTTGGTGTATTCTGTTAAACGACTAATATAAATGACCACTATAATTACCATAATACCCCCGAATTACCAAGACGCGCTTAAATCTTCAAATCTTCAGAAATTAGCCGCTGCCGTCAGATTAAGCAAAATGGACGATGCTGATATGACTGCACCGCCGCACCTAAGGACCCTGCCGCATATGACACACACACACAAAAACACACACACACACACACACACACACACACACACACACACACACATATATATATATATATATATATATATATATATATATATATATATATATATATATATTCCTTACGCATGGAAACATGCAAAGGATAAATATAAATAATATACATATATGTAGTTCAATAGTCTCAAGCATACAGCTACATATACCAAGCATGTTAAGATAATGAAATTCTCAAGTTGCTTTGTTTGAGAATTTCCTGTAGAGATGTAAGCCTGTGAAGTATCTTGGTTTTCTGCAAAATAATTGCTTGTAAAAAATTCATCACCTTTCAGATGCTTCTCCAAACTATTTATTGATGTAAAATATATCTTTTTGGAGAAGTTACATGGAAGTTGTTGTGATTTAAAACTCAACTTCCATAAGATAAGATATATCCTGAATGATATATCCATTACTGGAGAAATAATTAAATTTATTTTGAGTTAGTAACTGTATGCAAAATTATATATATATATATATATATATATATATATATATATATATATATTCCTTACGCATGGAAACATGCAAACGATAAATATAAATAATATACATATATGTAGTTCAGTAATCTCAAGCATACAGCTACATATACCAAGCATGTTAAGAGTAACTTTGAAGCATATAGCTTCAAAATGCATAATTAGAAGAGCATATTCCAAGCACGTTAAGTGTAGTTTTGAAGCATATAGCTTCAAAATGCCCCAAAACCTTACGCATGCAAAAATCCAAACATGCATTAATACTCTTAAGCATATTAGCTATAACTCTCAAGCATATTAGCTATATACTCTCAATCATATTAGCTATATATCTCAAGCATATAGCTATATATCACAAGCATATAGCTATATATCACAAGCATATAGCTATATAAATTTCTCCCAGTATTTTAATTAACTTTCTACCAAACTAAAATAATATTTACAACTCCACAACTCTAAATATTATTTAAGCATTCATGGAAGTTCATCTGAAACATTAATCTCCATTACTATATAAATTTCCAACATATATATATATATATATATATATATATATATATATATATATATAGGGGCGATCAAGTGTAACCATGTTGTTAGGTGTGGTCATATAGTCAATTACAGGCCATTATTAGATAGATATAATGAATCACATTAATCAAGATTCTTTCAGTATTTTCGCGCACGTTCTCCTACCCAGCGAACTGCAAGGGTAAACTAGTCATAGGGCTAAGGCACTGGAATAAGGGAATTCACATTGTTGTGTGTTTTATTTGTGTAATTGGTGCATTATTAACCTTATTCTGGTGTATTTGTAGATTCCCATTGGTGCCAAGTTCAGGTGCGGCAACGCATTCCTGTGTGGTCAGTGCGGCCGCACCAATTGTTATACAAATATATAACATCCATGTTATGAAATGCACATAAAAAAATATACACAAATTAGGTACGCATCACAAAAAGCGCGCCATTAGATATGAATAAATACACCATACAGTGTTCGGGAATACACTATTGGTGTGTTTCATTGTGGTGTGTTTTATTACACTATTGGTGCATGATGTCAATACTGTTGGTGTATTCTGGAACCCGGCCACTATAAATGACCACTACAATTACCATAACACCCCCACTTACCAAAACGAGCGAAAATCCTCAAATGCTCAAAATTAGCCCATGTCGTTAGATTAAACTGATTCAACGACACAGATACGACCACAACGCCACACCTAATGACATGACCACATATGAGCGCTCTTCCATATATATATATATATATATATATATATATATATATATATATATATATATATATATATATATATATATATATATATATAGGCGAGTTCAGGTGCGGCAGTGTCTTATGGTGCGGCGATTTCTTGCGGTGCGGCAACACCAATAGTTCAACAAATATGCGCCATCAACGTTAGGAAAATACACCACAAAAAACAGAGTAAACAGAGCCCTGCATCACCAAACACACACCATTAGGTGTGAGTAAAAACACCATACACTGTTCAGAAATACACCATTGGGGGTGGTGAGTTATATGATGTATTTTTTTGAGTCTGTTGTGTATTCTGTGATGTTTTATTGCATTTCATTGTGGTGTGTTTTTCTAACACTGTTGGTGCATATTGTTAACACTGTTGGTGTATTCTGGAATTCCGCCGCACTGCCGCACGGGAAGACCCCGCCGCATTTGAACTTTATAATATATATATATATATATATATATATATATATATATATATATATATATATATATATATATATATATATGGAAGGGATCAGGTGCGGGTGGGGCTTCCCGTGCGGTTGTGGGGGTGGACACACGTTAAACATTAATTTGACGCACTTAAAGTAGAAAACACACGCACATTAAGCACACAAACAAAAAACCTTAAGAACACAACCCCACACACGTTAAGCACAAGCCTCACGCATGTTAAGCACAAGCCTCAAGCACCTTAAGCATAGAACTCAGGCACCTGCACCTTAAGCACAAACCTACGCACCTTAAGCACAAGACTCACACACCTTAAGCACAAAACTCACGCACATTAAGCACAAAACTCATGCACCATAAAGTTTCAAGAACAACTCACATTAAGTACACACTCACGCACCTTAAAGTTTCAAGAACAACTCGCATTAAGTACACACTCACGCACATTAAGAACAAAACTCACGCACCTTAAGCACAAGACTCACTCACCTTAAGTACAAAACTCAAGCACATTAAGAACAAAACTCAGTACACTCACGCACATTAAACACAAACCTTACGCACCTTAAGCACAAGACTCACGCACATTAATCACCCGCACAACCGCATGAGAGACACTTACCCGCACTGAAACTTAATTACAGGTCTTCCCGTGCGGTCAGTGCGGCATACACCATTAGGTATG